ATTGTTTTAATAATGAATATTTTTGTTTGTTTTTTTTAAATAAAACAAAACACACTTATATAAAAAGAGAAAAATAATAAAATAGTAAATAATAATAAAAATAAAAATAATAATAATAATATTAATAATAATAGTAGAAAAGTAAGAAACAAAAATGAAAAAATACAAATAAAATTATCACCGTTTTAAATGCTTCAATATATTCTTATATTTTATATATATATATCTACATATATAATATATATACATACACATTATTTTAATAAAACTATAAATACAACATATGCGATAATGAAGAAAAGATAAATTGGGCAAATCGAATCGTTATTGTCTCACTCTCTCTCACTCTCTCTCGCTATGTTATGTATATATGTATGTATGTACGTATGTATGTATGTGTGTGTGTATGTGTTTTATAATAATGTGTCATTGTAAAAATGAGTGTGAAAATATATACACATATTTTTTCGCGATTAATAACACACAAACGATCAGAGTTATATTTCACTCTCGTTCGCACACACACACGCACACACACATACAGATACACCCATACATAATTTTACATACTTCTATCTCTCTCTTTCTCTCTCTCTCTCTCACTCATAACACACACACACACACATATATTAATCATACACAACTAACTCTAAGAAATTCATTCTTATCGCATGTACGTATTACGCCACGTACGCACACACAGACACATACACGCGGGCCGCACGCGCATTTTCCCATTTTTTGTTTATTTATTTATTTATTTATTTCTCTTTTTCTATTGTTAAATTTTGTTTGATGAAGAATTTTCACTAGGGTATGAAACATAGAAAGAAAGAGGTGAGGAAAGAAGAAAAAAAAAATGGTGATTAGGATTAGAAGTAGAAGTAGAAGTAGAAGAAGAATCAAAGCGGGGAAAAGAAAGAAAGAAAGAAAAAAAAAAAAGAAAATGAAAAATACGACGTCTCCCTTTTTTATCCCTTAAAGTAAAAAATAGAAAAAAAAACAAAACAAAAAAATCACAGATTTTCATTTGCAACGTATCCCTTTGTTTTTTTTTTAAATCTCTCTCACACCCTTATTCAAGTTTCTGTTTTTAATAACTGTCGCTCCCTTTTGCACCCTCTTACAGGCACACGCAACACCCTTTTTTTTTTCACTTTCTCACGATCGCAATTCAATTTCTCTCTCTCTCTTTCTCTTTCTTTTACAAAAACATTATTTTTAAAAAAATATATATGTATATATATATATTATATAATATTATATTAAAATATATATATATATATTTATATATATACATATATGGAGAGAAAAAAAAAAAGAAGTTAAAAACATAAAAACAATAATATACAATTCGAAAACGGTCAATGTGGTGGTGGTGTGATGGTATGCACGTTATTTGTTATTATTATTATTATTAATATTAATATTATTATTATAATTATTAATTTAATTACACGCGTTATTTCATTTTATCATTTTTTCTTCTCTACATACATAACGCCTTCTATACATATGTACATATTTAAAAATTCGCGTCGTTAAATATTTTTTACTTTAATCTTTTTCGAAATGAAAATTTACAAACGCATTTTTGACAATTTTTGCAACGTACAAACGTTTTTATTGTTTTTTTGTTTAATACTTTTTTTTTTTTTTATTGTGTTGTTATTGTTCTTCTTCTTCTTCTTGTTTTTTCTCGTGAATTTTTTTTATAKAATAATTTTAATTTTTTCTTTTTTTTTTCTTTAAATATTATGTCTCTGGTTGGTAGATTCTGTTTTTTTTTTGTTTTGTTTGCAAATATTATCGAAGAAAGAGAAAATAGAAAAATTTCATGAACATTATTTCAAATGTACATATATATATATAACATATATGTGTGTGTGTGTGTGTTAGTAAATACAATTTATTTTTGTTTTTCAATTTGTCTCCAATGAATATCATTATTATTATTATTTTTAAATGTTTTTAAATAACGCGAACGAGTTTGACGAAAGCAGCTCAGCTCAGCTCAGCTCAGCTCAGCTGATAATTGTTGTTGTTTATTAATAACAATAATAATAATAATATTATAATATCATTATTATTATTATTATTATTATAATCGTAAATGCTGCAGTGTTGTTTGTTGAATTTAGTCTCGTTGCTCGCAATGCAACTGAGAGGGACGAGGAGCAAGCGCAGTTAAATGGGGGTGGCTCTAACAATCACGAAGAAGAGAAGGGGGTGTGTGTGGTGGATGGTGGTTGTGATTGTAATTAATTTGTTTGTTGTTTTTCACGTAAAGTTATTAATAAAATCGTTTTAAAACGATTTTTTTACTTTGTTGTACGGACATACCTTCTCTTGTTGATATATATATATATATATATAAATATAATTAATGTTGCAGTTGACACAGAAAAATTGTCCTTGATGATGATGGATGACGATGATGTCGATAAAAAAAAATAGAAAAATGAAATAATATACAAATTGAAAGGAAATATAAATAAAATATCAAGAAAGAAGAGTAGGTCTCGTCAACAGTGAATGTGAAGTTGGAGTAGTTGGAGTTCTAGTTGGTTGGTTGGTTGTTCTGGTTGATGATGTTGAGGAAATTAGCATCCTCCACACCCCCTCAGTTCTTCCTCACGATTTCTGAGAAGAATCAGAAATCACAGTATACGTATAGAGCTCACCTAATAATTATCGAGAGAGACGGGGGGATGATTGGATTATTTCAAATCCCAAATTCGAATATAAGTTCCCATAAATTAGTCCTTCTTTCGATGGAACAAATAAGGGAGTTTAAATGATAGGGGTGCGAAGAAAAAAAAAAAAAGGAAAGGAGAGTACAACTGCTTGGCCAATCATCTTCTTCCTTCTTCTTTCTTCTTGTTGTTGTTGTTCTTCTTCTTCTTTTTCTTCATATTTTTGTCCTCTTTTTTTGACGATGACGATGAATATCAAATGTTATTATTTGTTATCGTTGCAAAAAGAAAAAGTTGCAATAATAAGCAACAGGAGCAACATTATATATATATATACATATATTTCAGTGTAAGTAGAAACCGTTGTTGAAACCCTTCGTGAGATTTTAGGTTAGAAGAGACCAAAAGGGGATGATTTTGAATATGATGATGGTCGAACGTTGTTGCAAGTTGTAGTAAAGAATGTAACAAGAGAGAGAAAGATAAAGAAAGAGTATGAGAGTAAGAAGAGTATGCGAGAGAAAGAGAAATATTTGTGAATCCCTCCTCATCTTTTTCTTCTTCTTCTTCTTCTTCTCTCTTTCTCTTTCTTTTCTTTTTTGTTTGCTTGCTAGGCTACCTAGCTACCTCTTTCTATCATCTTCAATCTTCTTCTTCTTTTTCATCTTCTTCTTCTTCTTCTTCTTCTAAGAGATCACCACACAGTAGGGATTATAGTTGAGTTGCTGGTATGTTGGTTGTTGTTGTGTGCAGCTTCGTCGTTGGGGTAAAAAAAAAAAATACTAGTGGGGATATAATATATAACACGAAGGAGGTGGTGGTGGTAAAGTTGAAGGATTCGTTGTTCCTTCTTCGTTTGAAATTCCTCTGGAGACGAGGAGAAGCTGAGATCAATTCGTCCGGTTTGTAAGATTCAACAAAGAAAGAAAGGAAAAAGATTGGGGAGGGTAGACAGACACACCACACCACCGATGACTATGATGATGATGATGATGATGATGATGACCTAAGATTATGCAGCTTTTTTGCTTTGCAAGAAACTCGATATGTCCCTTTTCTGCTATTCTATTCCCCTCCCCATTTACTTTCATTCTTCCATTTCCAGTTTCTTCTTTTTCTTCTTCTTCTTCTTCTTCAACATTGAGAGATCTCCTCCTTCGTTAAAGTTCGAGAAAATTCTATTCCTTTGTTGAAACTTCTTCAGGAAAAATTGGAATTTTTCTTCTTTTCATTTGTTGATAGGCTGTTTCGACTAGATGTGTTTTGTTTTCTATGATATTTGTTGTTGTTGTTGTTGTTATATGGTTGTTGGTTTTTTGAGTATATTTTTAATCCTTAGCCCCCTATTATATATTTCAATCATTTTTCGATCCAGTTTCACAAATTATATATTTTCTTCTTCTCTTTCTTTATATTTCATATCCTTTGTGTTCTTCAAATTGTTGCTAAATTACCAGGTTGTTTGTTGTGTGATGGTTGGTTGGTTGGTTGGTTGAGAGAGAGATTTTGTATCGTTAAAGGTGAAACTTTCGTTAGATCGATGGTAATAGTTGTAGATTTGGGTAAAAGTATAATAAACCATGTGTAGTAGTAGTAGTAGTAGTAGTAGAAATTAATGGTGAAATTTCTTCTTCATTGGTTTAATAATAATAATATGGAGCGTAATAATTGGTTGCTGGCTATGTTGTGTTGAGTGTGTGTGTGTGTATTATTGTTGGTTATCTTCTTCTTCTTCTTCTTCTTCCGTCGGACACGAAAGAAAGAAAGAACAGAGGACAGAAAAAATAAAACAAACGAAAATACAGTTTTCTTCTTAGCGAGTAGGTAAAATAAACGGCAAAATTGTGGAGGAGGAGAAGTGGGAGAGGAGACTAACGAAAAAAGAAAATAAAAAGGTAGAAATAGAAAGACACACACATTGGTGGTGGTGTTGTAGTAGTAGTAGTTGTGAGCGCCTCTCTTTGTCCTGGTCCGATGCGAGAGGAAAAATTTCATGATGAGAACGACTTAGGACGAAAAAACGATGAGACAACGAGTAAAACTACTAGGACGACGAGGACGACGACTTAGACGACTTAAACGACGACGATGATTTAGATGATTTTAGAGACGTCGGTGGATAAGTTGTTGGTTGATGAGAGACATCAAAATTATAACGAACGAGTTGAATTAATTTAACTGCAACTCCGTTATATCCTTCTTTTTTTTATACATATCTTACTTTTGTTTGTATTATCAGCATTATTATTATTATTATTATCATCACCATCATCATCATCATCATTTTAATTAGTAGGTTTGTTATATTGTATTTATCTTTTCTTTCATATTTGTTAATATTATTATTAAATTCTTCAACTTGAAACGAACGCCGCTATTTGCTCGCTGAATTGCGTGTGCTCGAGCAATAGGGAGTCTTTGCAGCTTTCAAATTGTTGTTGCTGTTGTTGCTGCTGATGCTGGTGGTGTTGGTGATGATGATGATTGTGGTGGTGATGATGAGAAGAACGGGAATGCTGATGCTGATGGTGCTGATGTTGTTGATGATGCTGCTGATGTTGGTGGTGGTGGTGTTGTTGATGATGTTGGTGGTGGTGTTGCTGATGATGTTGATGGGAAGATGTTGTTGTTTCCTCAGGATCAGGCTCGGTACGTTCGTATAATACACATATAGAACCATTTTCACCGATCCTATAAGAGACCTCCGACGGATCGATCCACATCGTCAATTCGCTGGGGAATAAGCTGTGCAATACAGCCGGTAATAATCCAACGTTAGCACCGGCCTGTGCAATAACGGGATCCATTTTACCATTAATCCGTATGCAACGATAACCGGAGCCACGATTTGGACGATCGGGAAACCAATGATCTCTGTAACGATGCCGCAACACCTCCGTCAACGATGACTTGAACATTTCGAGCTGTCGCTCCGAAAGTTGTCCAGCCTGCAGGCGCAGCAGGTGGACCAAAAAATCCGCCGCCGAAACTATTTCCAATCTCATCTTTAATATCTATTATGGATTTCTTTATTGTAAATGCTTCTTTCCTTCTACCCCCACAACCACAACTCTCTCTCCTCTCTTTATTCACAAAAGCAATATATTATTTGAATCTTTTACGATCCCACCACTGCAACTAATGTTGCTTGATGATGCCCTTTCTATTGGATTTATTATTGTATTGTATCTTGTCTTTCCTCTTTTCTTTTCTTTCCTTTTTTTCTTTTCTTCTTCTTCTTCCGACACTTTCCTTCTTCCCATTCAATTATCTTTTCACCAATTTTTCCCTCGATAACCACCACCTTTTTTTCTTCGGCGATATTGAAAATCGATCAATTTTGCCAAAATCTTTTCTTTGATTCAAATTTTAATTGGAATTGCTGCTGCTGCTGTTGCTACCGCTGCCGCTGCCGCTGCTGTTGCACGCGAAAATATTCACAAAATGGCGCCGTCGCCGCCACCAGCCACGTCGATTCTACCTCTTGCGACGCCACACACACCACCAAGTTCGTTTTCTCCCTCTCCCTTTTTCCCTCTTCCTAGTATATCTCTCTCCTCGTCGTCGTCCTTTTCAGAAACCAACGGACACGATGATGAAAACCGATCGAAAAACGTTGGCCCTCTAACTCGAATGAGAAAGGGAATTTCAGGGTAAGTTTATTTTTTTCCCACGAACTTTCCTTTGACTCTCTTCTCTTTTCTTTTCCTTATTCCTCTCCAATCACAATATTATTTTGTTAATAATAATTATCGTCGATAACACAACTCATTCCCAAAAAAAGAAAAACGAAAAATACGCAACACACCGGATAATGATGGTGTGGGTAAAAGATACTTTTCCTTTTTTTTTTCCCCTTTTGTGCGGAATGTGTTTTTTCTTTCGCGAAATTCGTGCGCGATTATATTTACGAACGAAAAAAAAAATGTCAAATAACTGATTAGATCGAAACCAACCAATCAATTGAATTTCAATAAAAACTGATCGACCGACCGAACAACCGTCACGTTCTTATCCGACACGCACGGGACAAACCGCACCCAGTAACCATCAACGACTTTCTAATGGTACCGATCTTCGCGACTCCGCCGATGTAGCCTCGTCCCTTTGTTCGAGCGCCCCAATGGTGGGGGATTCCACGAGTTAACCAATAGCAACGCTCGTTCACTTTTAACCCCTCCACCTAACCCCCTTCTACCAACCAACTTTTATATCCATCCTACCCCTACCACCACTGCTGCCTCGCGAGATACTGCGAGCTTCATTACATGTCACGTGACCCTGCGCGCCGGCTGCGCGTCGCATCTGCGTCCCGAATACGGGCTGCGCGGATCCAATCCGATGGTTCTCAACCACTATTATCCTTTTTTTTATTTTATTTTATTTTTTTTCTTCACTTTCTTTTCATATTTTTTGTTATTGTATTTTCTTTTATAGGTTCTCTCTCTCTCTCTCTTTTGGCTAATCGACTGACGATTAAATTATTTATCCTCTCACCCATTTATTTAATACAATTTATTATTTCGATTAAATGAAAATTTGAAAAGTGATTTTAATTAAAAGGATAAATTTCCTTTCAATAGAATATGTTGTTGAAATATTATTTAGTAAATTTGATTTAAGTATTAGAAATTATCCAGGTATCGTTTATTCACGTTTATATCGTCATAGATAAATAAATTGATTTTGATAAATTATAAGATATAAGTTTACAATTAGATGAGATTGTTATTCAATTGTTTTAATTAAAAATAAATGTGATTTTCCAGTGAGTAATAAATAAATCGTGTTTTTATAACGAATAACGGAAAATAATTAAATATTGGATTGGCAAGAAAGTAATTTCGTTAGTAAGTAAATATATATATATATAAGTATTTATTATGATATTATTTTATAATACAATATAAAATAATTAAATTATATTATTATAAATAATTTATAATAATATTTATTAATACATATTATTAATAAAATATCATATTATTATTAAATTATAAAATAATATAAATATTTAAATATATATATATAATATTATTGGGTTGGCGAGAAAGTAATATTTCACACTAAAAAACCGAAATTACTTTCTTACCAACCCAATCAATATATTTGGTATAATTTAAAGGAAAAGAAAAATAGATGTTTCTAATTATATGTACATATACATATATATAAAAAAAAAAAAGCAAACAAAATATGATTAAATCTTACGGTGGTTTGTTTTTCATTGGAAACGTGTTCGAAATGCGGAAGACGTCTTCCACGAAAACAACGTTCCTATATTTTTAAGAAAACGAATCACGCATCGATGGACGCGATTTCGTCGACACTGAACAAATACAAACGAACACGAATATATGCATGTTTTTTTATGTTTGTGTATGTAACGTTTGTGCGTGCATGCATGAAAGTAATACCAAACGATCACGGAAGCAAAAATACAAATACAACATGGAACACAAGGTATCGTTAATTAAATTAATGATTATTTCGTTTATTTTTTACCTTCTGTTATCACTTGTAAGGCTTTTCAAAGTAAAGATGTTTGTAATTCTTCTCGAGAGATTATCAAAGTAGATTTTTGTATAAGTTAAAAGAGAGAGAGAGAGAGAGAGAGAGAGAGAGAGAGAGATACGACGACGACGTAATAAAACAAACGCATGTACGTGTATACATATACACACGTGTTGTGTATACACGCATCATACGCATTAGGTTTGTGAATTTGTTTAAAACAAAAAAAAATAAATAAGACGATAAGGATACCATTTCTGAAATAAAAGTTGTTTGATTTTTGATTGCAAATATGATAAGGGTTCTATATATATATATATATTTTTTTTTTTCTGATTTAACAACTAAACCATTGAGTGATCAATTGACCACTTAAAAATAAACCAAAATTATTTATTTTAATATATTATGAAATTTTAACCAATTGGATAATGAATACAATATTTTTCTTTTATTAAAAAATTAATTACACGTTTTCATTGCATTTACAAAAAAAAAAAAAAAATGGTAGGTTTAGGTGTTAATACAAAGTTTCAAATTTATTTCATAAAATTTTAACCAATTGGCTAATGGACAAAATATTTTTCGTTTAGTTAGAAATCTTATTATATTATTTTCTTGCATTAAAAAAAAAAAAAAAAAAAAATAGGTAGGTTTAGGTGTTAATACAAAGTATCAAATTTATTTCAAGGTCTACTTTAATGTTTTACTTTGTTTCTTTTTTTAACGGAAAAACTTTTTGCAACGATAGTTTATTTTTTATAGAAAAAGAATGGAACTTTTATCGGAATATATATATTGTGTTTATTTACAAACTTCCTTCTACTTTTTCAGGATATATTTAAATACTTGAAAAACTCATTTTGTATTTATGCATGCATCACATATGCATGCATGTATGCATTTATGTATATATAAAATGTATCACTATGGCTTTAGGATTGTTGAATAGAAAAACCTTTATATAATAATAGCTTTAATCCATGAATCGATTAAACAATGGAAACCTTAGAACAACTGATTGTATCTGATCAAATATATTATCAATATCTTGATTATTCTGATATACATACATACATACATACATACACACACACGTATAAATTTATATACATATAAATCTTTTTATATTTGAGTATTCAAATTTTGAGAACATATATGAAAAAGTTCATACATATTATATACAATTAATATCAAATAAAAAGGTTGAATAATAAAATTGATAATAATGTTTAAATATTGAGAACCACTGATAGGTCTCTCAGCATGAATCCCAATGAAAGAACGAACGAATAGGAAACTAACGTCTACCACTAGAAAGCTCGTAGGTAATAATATATATATATATATATGTATATGTGAACTGTTGATCGCACGATACGAATTGTGGGTACGTCAGGTTCGATGTGAAAAAACACGTTCTACTACCTGAACTTTATAGAAGGGTGTAGAAGAGAACTGAAGTGAAGAGAATAAGGGCAGAATAGGGTTGACCATTATTATTGAGATATATATATGTACGTATGTACTTATATATATATACGTAATATATAAAAAGACTAAAAAAATTAGATTATTCGTTTATGTAGGACCCTTCGACCCTTTTCAATCTAAATGGATTTTCAAGGAATATTACTGTAAATCTATGATTCGTTCTTATCATATTTTTACAAATTTTTATACACACACATATATATATATATATTTGATCAATTTGATATTTATAAGGGAAAAGGGAATTTATTATTTTGTTATATAAAATTTAATATTAAAAATTAAATGAAATTTATAATAAAAATAATATTGAAATTATTGAATTTCACACACACACACACACACAAACACAATTGCATTTATATTGCAAATAAATTTTAATTACTATGAATAATATATTAAAGAAAAATATAAATTAAATTGTATTAAATGTAATTAAATGTATTTTTATTTCTATTTATTACGAATAATTGTTATTAATTTATTTTTTTTTAAATATTGTCCGTAAAAAATTATTATTATTTTTTTTTTATTATACTATAGATCAAATGATATCTAATTGAGTTAATTTCTAATTGAGTATAGTAATAGTGTATACGACATAGCGGATATATGTCACAGTAAACGTAACGTGTAATAAATACAGTCACTGGTTCAAAGTATACACGTATGAACACTGATATTTCGTACTTTCATGTAAATATGTATAATTTTCGTAAACTTTTTAGATCACTATAATTCTTACATATTCTACTTATTAAAAAAAAAAAAAGAAAAAGAAAAAAAAATATAATAAAGTATACTTTATAATGAGAATATAAATACATGTATATATATATATATATATATATATATATATATATATATATATATATATTGAACGTAACACGTAACACATAAAACTAGTAGTATATTAAAATTAATAAGATATAACAAAAGAAAGAATCAACTTACATTGAAACAAATGGGAAATGAATAATATTGTATATATCATTAACAAATTTAACAACAATTGAAATAAACTTACAAAAATATAAAATAAAAATATAAATGTATATCTTTACAGTTGTAAATTCTTACAAAGTTATATAAAATATTAATTTMTAATTAAATTAAATTAAATTATGATCATTGTAATTACATATATGAATACAAAAATTATATTAAAACAAAAATATCAAATATCAAATATAAAAATTATTAATTAATAATAAAATTAAATCATACTTAATTACATATATAAATAAAAAAAAAAAAAAATAAATTAAAACAAAAATACAAAATATCAAATATTAATTAATAATAAAATTACATCGCAATTAATTATATAGGTATAGGTATATACATATAAAAAATTTAAATAAAACAAAAATTCGATCACAATTACAATAAAAAAAAAATAAAAAAAATAAATAATAATAATAAAACATAGTATGKAATAAATAAAACAACGAATCAGTTGATTATGTCATGGGGTTTGCTTTGACGAACGTTAATTATTAACAGAAACAGTAGCAGCAACGTGTTACCTAACTCGACTGAAAGGAAAAGGGAGTGAGGAAGGGTGGGTRGGTGGGTGGTTGGTTGAGTGAGTGTGTGGGTAGGTGGATATAGATAGGTAATATTGAGGGCGAGTTTAACGCTTCGAAAATTCAAATACGATGCGATATCGTCAACCGAGCGTGAATCTCTACTTATATATATATGTATATATATTATAT